AAACGGGATTATTTACCTGCGATTAACTCCAAAACACAAACTCCTGCTATAAAAATCTTACTTTTGTTTTTTTCCAGGAGTTTCATTTTCCATTGCATGGATTACTGCAGGATATTCGGAGCGAAACGACGAAGGTTTGTGTTTTCCAAACTCCACAACGTGTAAATATTGTCACGATTTATACTTTTCAATATTCTATTTATATTTAAATATCGCATTTAATTGTTGCTCGTTCGTTTGGTCTTCTTTGAATTCAGTAGACGTCTTATTTTAAAAGAATCATAAGTATAAATAATTAATGTCATAAGTACTAAATGTTAATGCTTCATGGATCAGATATGGTTAATCCCTGAATTGGCCCCATGATGCCTAATTAATCCAGTGATTACGGAAAAAACACCCCATTATAATGCTTAATGACCTGCTTTAATTAAGGAAAATGCCCCTGATTCCCTTTATACCCCCCCACCCCACCCCACCCTGAGGGTTGCAGAGGTTTGTCAACTGTTCAGTTTCCCACTATTGTTTGGGATCCAGCTGAGAGTTGCTGCTGATGCACAGATTCCCTTAAAACCTCCCAGAAAAATCTTTATCATTCCCTTAATCATTTTTATTTTTCAAAGGGAAAATAAAATCACTTTTAAAGCTTAATTATCTTAATTGGTAATGGAAACCAAACATTTTCTCGTTTTTGTAGATGTTCTTTCACCTGCATCTGATGCTGTTACACAACACGCCTCTTCACTGAGCATTTCTGCAGCCATGAAGTTGGCTGCGCACAGGATGGCAGGCACAGCGATGAGCACGCTCACCACAGGTGTGCAGTATCTGGGCTCCAACGACGCCAGCTACGACGACCCCTCCATCGACTCTGGCCTGGCGAAGAACAGGTTGGGCTTTCAGAAACCTCACTCTGCCTTCGTCTCCAGCTCCCTCCCCGACCTCGTCCTTGGAAACAAGGATGTCGTTTACACTGCCCTCTTTCCTGTATTTCCCACCAACATCTCAGACTTGATGTTGGGTAACTCCACTGCTGTGGAGAGCTTAGATGCTTCACAGTGTGCAGAGAACCTTGTGGACAACCTAGAGTGCTTCATGATCCTTACCCCTAGTCAGCAGCTTGCAGTTGCCATCTTAGCGCTCACTCTGGGTACTTTCACTGTGCTGGAGAACTTTGTGGTCCTCTGTGTGATCCTTCACTCCCAGACTCTTCGATCCCGGCCTTCTTACCACTTCATCGGCAGCCTGGCTGTGGCCGATCTCATAGGAAGCATCATTTTTGTCTACAGCTTCTTGGACTTCCATGTCCTCCACAGAAAGGACAGCCCAAACGTTTTCCTGTTCAAGCTGGCTGGAGTCATTGCCTCCTTCACCGCCTCTGTGGGCAGTCTGTTCCTCACCGCCATCGACCGCTACATCTCCATCCACAGGCCTATGGCGTACAAGCGCATCGTCACAAAAACGAAGGCGGTGATTGCCTTCAGCATGATGTGGACCATCTCTATTGTCATCTCGCTGCTGCCGCTGTTGGGCTGGAACTGCAAACGCCTCGGCACGGTCTGCTCTGATATTTTCCCTCTGATTGATCAGAGGTACCTCACCTTCTGGATTGGAATAACAAGCGTCCTGCTGTTGTTCATCATCTACGCCTACATGTTCATCCTCTGGAAGTCCCACCACCACGCCGTCCGCATGCTGAGCCGGACCTCCCAGAGGAGCGTGATCGTCTACACTGCGGACGGAGCCAAAGTTCAGACTCTAAGGCCTGAGCAGGCCAGGATGGACCTCCGCCTGGCGAAAACTCTGGTCATGATCCTGGTGGCCCTCATCATCTGCTGGGGCCCTCTCCTAGCCATCATGGTGTACGACCTCTTTGGGAAGGTGAACGACTTCATCAAGACCGTGTTCGCCTTCTGCAGCATGCTGTGTCTGCTCAACTCCACTGTGAACCCGGTGATCTACGCCATGAGGAGCAAGGATCTTCGCAGGGCCTTCCACAGCATCTGCCACATGTGGCGCGGCGGGTCCCAAACACTAGACAGCAGCGCAGAGAGCGACTGGAACAGCAGGAGCATGAGAGCCGCTGCAGCAGCAGCTGCTGTAGCAAGCAGGGCGGGGAAAGGTGGTGGCAGCTGTGAAAAAATGCAGAAGAAAGCAGCTCAGGTTCGAGTTTCTGGAGGTACAGAGTCCTCTACAGCAGAGCCCGTCTGAAGCCAAGCCTGCTTCTGTTTAACTGTGAAGCTAATAGTGTTGTATAGTCTCTGGCCTGTTAGCTTTGTTACTGCAAATTTGTGCCAAAAATCACTGATACAAAATAGATCATAGAACTTTATGTCCTTGTCTTTAAATGGTGGATTCTTACTATTATTAATCAAGAAAGACAAATTTTTATGACGGCCGTTTCTTTTATCTTATAGGAGGATCTATTGGTGCTTTGTTGCCTTTGCTCCAGCTTAAAATGTAGAGATTAGCTCAGTATCTTCTTCTGTGTTGTATTTTTTATTTATTTTATTATGGGCTAATGTGAAAATGTTATTTATTTATTTGTTTATTTATTTATTTATGAGTTGTCTTTTAATGTTTTTAAAATGAATAAGTTTAACAATATTTCTGCATTGCATTGTTTCCCATAACAGTATTTGCCAACAAGTAGGAATTCTGTAAAGTGTGATTTAGATCTATTTTTGTTCACGTTTTGTTGAATTGTTTGGTGTCTTTTTGAAGTAAAATGAATTTCCCCATCCTCATGTCAATTAAAAGCTTTTTTTTCTGCTTTGCGTTTTTGAATATTTCAGTTTGTTACCATATAGGTGGGTCTTCCCCACGGTTTTACAAACTGTAGCATCATCGAGTGCATGACATTGCATAGTTGACTGCAGAGATCCTTTAATGAAAGTGGAGAGAAAACACTGGAACTGGAAGGATGGAAGAACAGAGACAAACAGAGACATTTCCACCTGAACTTAACATGAATGTCTCTGGATGGAGAGAGGAAGCTAGAGGCTCCAGCTGCTTTCCTAACCCAGGTACTGCATCTTGCTTTCTAAATCCAGCTGAGTAAAGTTAGTACATTTCTAATCTGGATTTTGAAGCCATAAAATGTTGCTCTCAGGGGCAATAAAGTGGGGAAAAAAATGTAAATGCTTAAATATTTCTGTCTGACCCAGCTCTAAGAGCAGTGAGAAGTTACCAGATGATTTAGAAAACATTGCTTCTTTTCAATTGATAACACTGCCCCCTTCTGAACATATTGAGGAATTAGATTTCGATAAAAAGCATAGAGCGGTCTGCAGGTATATGCATGAATTTCAGCATAAAAAAATAGCATTTACATAATTCATTTTAGAAACAATTGGCCTTTTTGACAATATTATTCTACTATATGATTATATTGCGTAATAAATTATATTCTTTCATGTCTTTTAGCTTACAGTTCTGTTTTTTTCCTGATTATTAGATAATACCACTTAAAGAGATTATATATTTTGGCCTACAGAATCACAGGGAAAGATGTTTGCCTAATATTGTATTGGAGAATGGGATTAAACTCTTAGCATCATAAGAAAACTATATAAGTTCATTAACAAATGATGGTTATTCACAGGGTGCTGTATGAAAGGATTTTTATGAAAAGTGGAAGGAAAAGCTGTGCCAGAAAAAGGTGTTACAAGTCAAATTAGTTGCATCCTTTGCTTCTTTGTGGAAAGGTTTTCTTAAGATGCCATGGTTTCGTTTTCCAGGAGGCTTTGAAACTGACCCCATACTAAAAATATAAGTACTTATGGACTGTGCTGTGACTAAGCTTGTTCAGAAAACAGACATGTCCTAAACAGAGGCGTAGCTAGAAAAATTTAATAAGGGTGGCCAGGGAATAATCAATGTACACTGGGGGGTGGCAAAAAGCGGATAGGCGCGAGAAGCTGAGGGTCAATCTACACTGTTCCAAAAGGAAAAGTAGCAACCACAACATCCATATTTTCTAAATAAAGACTAACTATAATTTCCTATTATGAATAAAACCCATATTTACATGTACTGATATCTACATTAAATGGATTACTTATTATTAAAATAGTTATTTATCTCTGAAGGCTCATATATGACTTGCAGAGACATAATTTTCTCTTTACCCCATAAGGCAAAGTCCTCTTTCAAAAAGAGCATGATTTCTGTATTTATCATCTTTAATGTTAGTATACTGATGTGCATAATTAACCACAGTGTTTTTTGTTGTCAATAAACTGTTAACATATGAAAAATTTAAATGTTAAATAAGTTAGAACATTCTGCTCGTGAGTATTACTGCTGCAAACATCTGTATTAGAGGGTAGGGGTGGCCATGGCCCCCCTCTGCCCCCCCATCTAGCTCCGCCCCTGGTCCTAAATACAACAAAATAAAAGAGCAATTAGAAGAAGATAAGAGACACCAGAATAAATGATAAAGGGCATTATTAAAGTAATCCGGGCATTCTGAACAAACAAGCAAAATCCCAAACGGTTTTGTACTTAAGACAGACACAAACTGAGGCAAACATTGGTCGCTAAAAGTGACATTACCAGAATAAAGATAATTAAACCATTGAAATATTTGACCTGCATGGTCCTAACCATATATAGAACCAGTATCCTGAGTTTTTCTGGTGGATTTAAAAGAAAAAGATGGATCAGAATAAAAGTAACAGACATTTTTGTACTAACCATCCCAGAAAAATCCAAATTTAACTTATTATAAAAATATAATATAATTCGTAAAAGGTTCGCTATTTTATTGCAGTCTTTAAAATGTCACAACAATATTTATTCAAATACATTTCTTTCCTCAACTCTTCCAGTTTTCGTCATCTCCTTTCAGAATGTCACTACATTACCCATAATACATTACTTCCATTGTAAGATGTGACGAGTCCACACTCCATACCAGTTGGTGGCAGTAATGCTCACCTAACGTTTTTGTCAACCGCCATAAAAAATTTCAAGAAGAAGATATGACGTCAGGAGGCGGAGCCGCCAACAGCCTCGTATCACAAAACAAGCTGCTAGGTAGCGTTAGCTCGCAGCAGCGTTAGCTCTCCACACCAACAGTTGGCCGCTGCTGGCTGGTCGGGATTTTTAACTTCTGAAAAACAACTCCCGTAACAAAACTACGTCGAAACAACTTCCCTGGACCTATTTAAGCTGTAAAGGTAAAAAAAAAAACAATCTCCATATAGATGCAGTGTGGGGCCAGCGGTAGTCTAAGCTAGTGTTAGCTTTGTTTTCTTTTTGCTTATTGGCTTTGAGGCGAAGCTAGCGGACCGCTGGTTAAATCCTTTACATCACAGTGTGTTCAGTGCTTTTCTTCTGGTAAATCGAAGCTCGCTGCGGTTTTTAAACCCCCCTCTCTCTTTGACAACTTTTAAGTCATGGCGTGTGGAGCCACCCTGAAGAGAACCATGGATTTCGATCCATTGATGAGCCCCGCGTCCCCTAAAAGACGGAGATGCATCCCGGTGGCCCCGTCGGCTTCCTCACCGAGGAGGTACCTCAGCATGGAGCCCTCGCCGTTTGGAGAGTCGTCGTCTAGAGTCAGCGCAGGTAAACTTGGCTACTGTTGGTTAAACTGGTCTCCTGGATGACCAGTCTCTCAGGTTTCTGATGTTGGGCTCAGTAACGTGACTGATGAACTCTCCCCTTTATCTGTGGTTTCACCAGAACAAATCCTGAACAGCATCAAACAGGAGTACAAACGTATTCAGAGGAGGAAACATCTAGATGGAGGCCACCAACAACTAGAGTGCTGTTATTCTCCAGACTCCCCTTCCCAGTTAGCTATGAATGTCTCCAACATGGCAGGTTGGTGAAGGAGCAATAAAGGCCTCTTTTATTATAGTTTTCCTTCCATGTGTTGATTAAAAAATAAATAATGTGCAATTACAAATTTCATTCCATTTTAAAATGGTATTAAAGCATTAATCAATGTCTAGGGCACAAGGATCATCGTTGATTACAAAAAAAAGATGCAATAAACTTAATGTTTCCCCATCATCAGAAAAAAAAACTTAATATAAACCTTTATAGTGAGACACAAATCAAAGCAGTCGGTTATGATTACAGTATTGTACTTGAGCTGCTTAAAAAAAAAAAAAAAAGAGTAGACGAATTGTATTGATTCTCATATCAATTATACAACTAAATATCTTGTCTTTAAGCTCTACTCATTTTTAAGCATTTTCTAATTACCTTAGAGCCACCATTAAATAACATAATTTTATTAATTTGCTGTTGAATATAAATAATAGTACAGGGGCGGAGCTAGATGGGGGCAAGGGTTGGCCATGGCCACCCTTAGCTGATCATTGGCCACCTCTACCATTTTATTTCCCCTCTAATACAGATGGTGGCAGCAGTACGGAAGAGGATTAGGGCCACTGGAAAAAAAAAAAGTAAACTGATTTTTTTTAATTTTATTTCAGTTTAACATGGGAAAAAAGTCAGAATTCTGACTTTAATCTCAGAATTCTGAGAAAAAAGTCAGAATTCTGACTTTTTCCCCATACTATACTGAAATAAAATAAAAAAAATCAGTTAACTTTTTTTTTTCTCAGTGGCCCTAATCCTCTTCCGTACAGCAGTAATACTCTCAATTGGAATATTTCTCATATATTCATAATTACTTGACAACAAAAACACTGTAGTTCATTATATACATCAATATCCTTACATCAAAGATAAGTACAGAAGTCATGCTCTTTTCAGAACTAGATTTTGTTATATGGGGTAAAGAGAAAATGCAAGTCATCTAGGAGTCTTCAGTGAAATCGTAGATAAATATTTTAATAAAAACGTATTCAATAATACATTTTTGTAGATATTATTACTTGCTAATATCAGTTTTATACAGAATGATTGTTGATATAAGTAGATAAGTAATGACAAAAAGAAAAGATGCTTGCCCCAGAACTCAAACCTGACAGAATTGTATTCATTATACCCTTTATCTAGAAAGCACGGATGTTTAAATATATGCATCTAGGTTTTTGCAAGGGTTGTAGGAAAGTAACTATTGTCTTGTCAGCTTCATGCGCCTATCCTCAATCTGCCACCCCTCAGTCTACAATGGTTACAGCCTGGCCACCCTTATAAAAATTTCCTGGCTACGCCTCTGTACTAGTATCATTCTGTTGCTTAAACAGTGGTATGATTCCTGTACCAGTATGCAAACGCCAGAGATATATTTTTTCATGTCGTCACTCCAGAATCCCCTGCAGCCTTTAGGTGTTGTGCATTTGTACTTCATGTTAATGCTCCATGTTTCTTCTAACAGGGCCGTCCTCCGGCGGCGTCTCTCCAAGCAGAAAAGAACAACCGTTGTTCACCCTCAGACAAGTTGGAATGATCTGCGAACGCCTGCTTAAAGAACGAGAAGACAAGGTGCGGGAGGAGTACGAGGAGACCATGACCTCAAAACTGGCAGGTAGCTAATTTTTCAATGATTCAAACTATGCTGCATTTACATACATTAAACAAATCATTTCAGTTTATAACATCCTTAGTGCAAATTCTTTTTTTTTTTTTTTTTTTTTTTACTTATCAGCATAGTAAATCATTTGCATTATTTCATCTGTAAAAGATCAGCGATGTTTAAAAACAGCTTGGGGCAGTATTTGATATTGTTAAACGATATACAGCAATCAATTAGGCCTTTTTTGGGCGTTCATAAATAACCTTAGAGCAGGACTGATTGACTCTCTGCCGTTTCTTTTCCAGAACAATATGACACCTTTGTGAAGTTCACACATGATCAGTTGATGCGGCGATTCGGCGAGCAGCCTGCAAGCTGTGAGTTCTTTTCCTTTTATTTTCACATTCCTGCTTCGCTGGCACGGCGTCAGGAATTTCAAACCAACCGATCTGAGTTCTATATTTCACTTCACCTCTGCTTTTCTCCAGATGTTTCCTGAGTGTGGCACAGAAGAAGACCTCCGGCTGCAAGCCGTCATGTGATCTCTGGCAGAAGAGTTCTCATCCTAAGAGATTTAATTTAGCTACCTAGTTAAAATGAAACTTTTCTGACTGTGCCATATATCAGTCTTTACGCGAAGCGGTTGTTGGCACTCGAGTGGCAGCAGCTTGGTGCTTCCTGGTGTAAATTAATGGACCCCATCTCTACAAGTGGCCTCTGTTCCCCCTCCCAGCTCTACGCAGCGATGCAGTTATCTCCCTTTTTCTATCGACTCCCAGCATTCCAGGCTTTGTTTCTGTTACAGATGAGGCGCTGCAGAGTTTTACAAGGTTTACTGCTCAATCTAAGAAGTGAATGGAGTGGTTCAGCACCATTTCCCTCATTTATTGCTTTTTAAATTAAGTAGGTAAATGCTTTTTTTCTTTTTCCAACCAGTTTCTATTTATTTTGTCCAACTGGTATCATTTTTGCAACCAATGTACTCGAATGGAGAAAAAAAATAAATGGAGAGTTGAATCTTTACTTGTGGAACTTTTTTAATTTGTTGCTTTTAGTTCTTTCTTGGTGGGGCGGGGTCAAAAATATCAGACCAGTTTTCTTTGGCATCAAAGGAAAAACAACATGGCGCTATGAACAAACAAGAACCAGGTTGTGGGTAAAGTCCTCAAACACAGCATTCCAAACTGAAACAAAGGCACAGGTCAGACTGAAGACTTCAGTGACCCTCTGAGAAGTTCCCCACAAATGGAGATAATACAGAACAGTGACCAGCCTTCCCAGGAGTAGAGAGCATACCAACTCTTAAGAACTCAAGGTCATACAGGGAAAAAAAAAATTATCTAATACTCTGTAGACAAATCATGATTCAAATGTAAGAAAAGGAGTAAAGAAAGCCTCCTTTAGTAGAGTTCCAACACAAACACAAAAAAAAAATGAACATGGTGCTGTGGGATGCCCAAAAACGGGCTGATCATGATTCAATTCAGCTTATTTATATGGTGCCAATTCACAACAAGTCATCTCAAATGGTAAATGGCATGTACTTATATAGCGCCTTTATTCAAGTTAGGAGACTTGACCAAAGCGCTTTACACTACAGTCACGCACACACTGATGTTGGCAAGCTACATTGTAGCCACAGCTGCCCTGGGGCTCACTGACAGAAGCGGGGCTGGCGCCACCGGGCCCTCTGACCACCATCATCACAAGGACACAACGAGACTGAAAGTCGGAGTCGGGGCTTGAATTGTCAATCCTTCGATTTCAGGGCAAACTCCTACATCCGACGCCACTGTCGTCATCTCGAGGCACTTTACAGTTCACCAGATAGAATTGATTCTAAGTTTTCTAATGAAAACCAGTTGATTGCATCGACTCTTCAGCAATCCCTCACACTAAGTATGCTTGTAGCGACAGTGGAGAGGAAAAACTCCCTTTTAACAGGAAGAAACCTCCAGCAGAACCAGGCTGAGTGTGAGCGGCCATCTGCCGAGGCCGACTGGTGTTTAAGGAGTCAGAAGCAGAGATACAAAAGGCAACTGTAAAAGGCGGAAACACACAGCCATTAAGAAGAGCTGCGAGCCAGCTCCCATGTCAGAGGATGAAGAAAACGCATCCAGCCAGTCACAGTCACCCCCAGATTCCACATAGTCAGCGCTCCGCTCACATACGTCGTGTGGAGTCTGTCATGTTAATCAGTGAGAAGTGTTCCACATCCACCGCTACTCCTCAACCCGTCACCATCCACGTAAGCCTTCTCTGTCAGGTCTCCATGAAAATACGGATTTTGTTATATTTTATAACATTTTGTTATATTTTATTTTTTGCTCCGCTCTGGTCCAGGTCAAGATCCGCAATTGCAATCGCACAAAACAGGAAAAAGAACATCGGGAAAAAAACCCCAGTTTATTTAAAAGATTGGATGCCGGAGGATGTTGGATTTCGGGGTCAGAGAAACAGGACTACACTGAAAAACAGGCCGATCTCCAACATCTATAAACAAAGGTGTTGATGGCAGCAGCACAGCTGATATTTCTCTTCCGGATGGAGTCACAGCCAAAAACAGACCAGATGAAGGGATTCAGCAAGGGGTTGGTCAACAACGAACACTCTAGAGCAGCCGTTGCATCCAAAGGAACAATCAATTAGTGTTTTGTTTTTTTAGCTAATAAATTGTATGATGGATTTTAACAAATCCATGTTAAAATAGAAAAAAACAAACAAAAAAACAGAAATAAGACTTGAGAGCAGGTGAGAGCTGCTTCACAGCACTGAAACTACAGTTAGTTTATAAAGAAACCCAGCATACTTTCCATGGTGCTGAAATGTTTAATCTACACAGGAACAAATGCAGAAATGATATAAGGAAAAACATAAATAGAAAATAGAGCCGACTGTTCCGGGGGGAGAAAAGAAACGAGAGTGTCAGCAGCCTCCCCAGGTGAGTCGGGCCACGTGATCCGTCTTCTTCTTGGTCGCTTTGATGAAGCCCAGGAACTCCAGCTCTGACACGGCACGGATAAAACGAGCGCTGAGGGACAAGTTCAGGATTTAAACCGAGGACCAGATTTCCACAAAATAAAAAATTTCCTTCTAGTTCAGTTTAGCATCCCACCTAATAAAGGGGATTTTTATCTAAAGGGTATTATTTTTTCAGATACTAGGGCAGGTGTAGCTTTATTTATAAAGCTGTAGTTAAAAAGCGTATCAGTGTATAAAAAGATACTGTTTGACTTCGTCCACTTTTCCAAAACCATCAGAATCTGGATCGTTGCCCTCTGCAGCAGAAACCACGGTGGAGTAGGCCTGGAAACAAAAAGAACAGCTCACAAACAAATCCAGATTTTGATCTTAAAGTCAGCAACACGACACTCTGATCAATAAAACCTTCTACAGACAGACCAGCTTGGATCAAAGAGAGGTTGAAAGGTGCTGTTTGTCTTATCGAACCAAAGACATGACCTAAATAGATTAGACTCAGAGAGACGACTCACCTCCAGCCAGTCGTAGAGGTTGATCAGCCGGCCACACTCCAGGTGCAGCTTGTAGGCTATGCAGATATCTGGAGCGGCGTTTGACACCGTCCCGTCCTCTGTCTTCAGGCTGTCATTCTGGAGGAAAACAAGGATTTAAGGTAAGTGAATGGTCAAGATTTTACTTTCAGAATGTCCTTCCCAGTCCCTTTAAACCATCTCTGCTCTGCAGGTAGTTCCCCCAAATTTCTAAAATATGATCGTCTTTATTGCAATAATAAATGATTTTATTTTGATCATCTACAAAGTTACAATTTCAAAATAAACCAAATGATAAATTCCTTAATCAAATGATCACAGGCCCAAATAACAGTGAAAATGACTCCAAGCTTCTGATTGGCTGAACTCACGACGTCTCTGCACCATAAAGTCAAGAGGCTGATCCGCCTCTCAATCTCTTGATTTGTGATAAATATTTGTGCCATAAGATTTTGTTTTTCCATTTTTAAGATACCCAATTTCCATCCGAAATGCCTCAAACCTGCATCGCTTGGTTCATTCCTTTAAGAACACCCAATTATTTTGTTTTGACTTTCAGCAGCACTAAAAAGCACAGATATTCCCCTCCAGGGTTTTATTCTTCTGTTGCAGAACTTTTACCATTATGAAGAAATGCTTCCTACTGGCTGCCTGCTAGCTAAGACTCTCCTCCCTTCTTATTGATAGCAGAGCAAAGCCTTGCCGGCCAGATTGATTTTAGTTGAGCATAGGTCATTCTGTTAAGGCTAAATACTCTTCATCTTTCTTTTAAAAAAATATGTTGTTGCATCACGTCTGGTCTAAACCGTTTTTGCTGAATCTGTTAGTTCCTCCCTTAAAATTAGACTCCTTCCGCTCCCTTCTGACCAATCTATCCGATGTTCTACAGGTGCATTACCGCCAGCTAGGTTGATGCAATTTAAAAGTCTTGTTAAATTTAATGTGACCAAAACTGGCTTCCTCTGCGATCTGAAAATTGTGCTTTATTAAACTGTGATGACAATCCTAATGCGGTTAATTGCCTAACTCCAATCTAAATTATCCCTTCCTTTACCATTCCTGGATAAATCCTCTAAAATTTTCTAACATCTATTTTACCAGGCAGAAAGATGTGCCTCTTTTATTAGATTTAGTTAGGGATATATTCATTTTCTTTAAAAAATCTTTTGCTTACTTTTAGGCACAAGGGGTGCTAGACCTGTAACTTCCTGGTTAATCTCCCCCTGAGAGTAAAGGGCAGATTAGACTTCTGCAACCGCACACATCAAATGTCGCTTGGGTCACGAACCAGTTTTGCTGGTTTGCTTCTGCACCGTCCTTCTGGAATTTCTAGGGATCACAGCGGTTTCCCGCCAATAAGCAACGGGGAGCCAATTCGAGAACTCGCGAGAACTTCGGCGGATGGTCACGTGAACTTTGTTTTGGCAGAGACCTTGGCATCTTTATATAATCCGTCTGCGGCATCGTACAAGTGGTTGTACTTCCGAACATCCTCGATTAACCTTTCGTCATAGTTGTTCCTCGGTTTTTAAAAATGGCGCGCGCCGGCACAGAATCGAGAAGGACGACCACACAGACAGCCGGAAAATCATACCAAGGACCAATTTTAGCTGCTTTTTGTCTAGGCACTTCCGCTTGAGGTCTGCGCGGGTTTGCAACCGTCCAACGCCTAGCCAGGATTTTTATGAGGTGCGCGACGATGGTTGCAGAACCTCTGCGTGGTCGCGCACAGACACAGATTTGACGGTTGCAGAGGCTATGCGTCATAAGCATAAATTGACCTCAACTCAAAAACTATCACTAAATGAACCAGTCTCTCTGGAACCGCGTTTTTATTAACAATCAGATTATGCAAATCGTAATTAGAAAAATAATCAACTTTCTAAATGGCAATATTACAATTTGAAACAACAAAAACAAATAGCTCACATTTATGATCTGTTTGTTTTGATGAGGTGTTTTTTTTTTTGGCCTCATCAAAATCCTTATATTTTAAAAACTGCAATGGAAACTATTTTTTCACATCACAAAAGTCATTTCATCTGAAGCTTGAGATAACTGCCAAAGAGGAGGAAGAAGACCAGTAGTAGTGGCAGAAACATAGAAATATCTCATATGCTGATGAAGGTTCTCAGTCATCCAGGTCATACAGGTGCTGGTCATAAAATTAGAATATCATGAAAAAGTAGATTGATTTCCGTATTTCCATTTAAAAAGTGAAACTTGTATATTATATTCATACATTACATACAAACTCATATATTTCAGATGTTTATTTTGTTTAATTTTGATGATTACAAATGACAACAAATGAAAATCTCAAATTCATCATATCAGAAAATTAGAATATTGTGAAAAGGTTCAAAATTGATGGCCCCTGGTGCCACACTCTAATCAGCTAATTAACTCAAACCACCTGCAAAAGCCTTTAAATGGTCTTTCAGTCTAGTTCTATAGGCTACACAATCATGGGGAAGACTGCTGACTTGACAGTTGTCCAAAAGACGACCA